GTACAAAAATGAAACGCAGTTCTAATAAGCCAGTGGTTCTTAAACTGAGGCGTGAACAAAATCCCCTGGCACTTACTAAAAAATACAGAGGTCTAAGCTAATTGAAGTAGGATGGGGCATCAGCCCTGAATGGTCATCAATTTCTCCAGCTGATTCTGATATGACCAAAAACGCAGAATCTCTGTGCTATGGAACTGCTCCCAGGTGAAGTCCATTCCCCTTGATCTAGCTAAGGCAGTCACTGGCAAAGAAGGAAGCTACTAGACTAGTATTGTATTCAGATATCCATTTGCTTATTCCTAGTTCTGCCAGTTATTTTTTCTATGACTTGGGCAAGGGCTCCCTCTGACTTTCTGACCTCAGTTTTCTCACCTGTAAAATGGGCACTGGGATAAACCAGAGAACCTCACCACACCTGGCCTGAAGCAAAGCACTTGCTGAAGGCTGGTGGAAACTGCGGCTCTTTTGGTTTATTTTTGAGGGCTCTGCCTTGGTTCTACCCCACAACCGGGGAAACGATTTCAGCAAAGAGGCTCAGCCATCCCACCTGGCATGCATGGCTTGCCTTCTGCTGGTTCGGAGCCTCACCCCCTGTCAAAACAGCAACCCTAAGAGGGTGATCTCCATATCACAGTTTGCCAGTCTGACCGAGGGCAGCAAACTAGAGTGAAAGGAAGGACGCTGGGTGTCCACCAAGATCAACAGCTCTTTGATTACAACGGGAAGTTACGGCAGATGAGCGGAACATTTCCTAGAACTGCACTGGGCAAGGTACCTCCCTTTGCGCACTCACCCTGCATTTTTGAGGCTTCCTCATTCTTGTCCTCCAACAGCACCATGCCGCACCCCTGCCTACAACCCTCCAATGGCTGCTCACTGCCCTTGGCATAAAATCAGGACTCCTCACCAGGGATTCTACAACAGAGGGTTTCAAACCTGGCTGTGTGACAGGGTCCCCTGCCCACTGGGCAATGTCTCAGGGGCATTTCGGGTTGTCACAACTTGGTGCCTGGTGCTACTGGCATCTAGTGGGTAGAGGCCAGGGGTGCTGCCGAACACCCTACAGTGCATGGGACAGCCCCCACCACAAAGGCTTTTCTGACCCCAAAGATCAATAGTGCTGAAGACGAGAGACTCTGCTCTGGGGCAGGGCCAGGCACTGTTAACTATATTAAAAGCTCCCCTTCCTCCACCAGGCTTGAAAAACCCCACCTTCTCCAGGTCTTGCTCCTCACAGCTTCTCTACCCTCACCTTCTCCCCTTTGCCCTCGCCTGTCACCATCACAGTCTTTTTTCCAGAATCTGCATTTTTACAACTTTCCTCTCCTATGACTGTGCAGGAAGGTCCAGGTATACCATCTCTGAGATTCGCTGCTTAAGACCTGTTCCCAGCTGCTTCTCAAACACAGCTCATTATCAGACAAGCAAAGAATACTGTCAGAGTTGGAAGGACACTGCAACAAATATCTGCTTCCACCTGCTCATTTTACAGAAGGAGAAACTGAGGCTTATGAAACCCCAGGTAGCAAGGTAGAAGGGTGAGAGACACTTTCACTCAACTCTACTGGCTTTCAAATTTCACTTGGAGTTTTTAACACGAGTGATTGTGCAGACAGTCAATAGCTTTGCAATAATCCCATAATGACTCAATCGTGAAACAATCCAGCAATCCTGCTGCTAACAGCATTTGTGGCTACAGCAATTGGGTAACTAGTTGGTTATTACTCATTCCCTAAGAGCCACACATATTGCATTGCAAGGAAGCTAATCTTAGAAATACTTGTTAACTTCAATGATAATTACTAAGTAATTGGCTAGAATGCGCCATTGTGAATTGATCCAGAATATCCCAGGTAATTATCTGGTCTTATGTTCCTGTAAAATAAATCTAGGGTCCAAAAAACGGTTCCAGTTGGTTGGCCATCATCCAACCATCAACCTCTGCCCGCCAATCGTGCAAATGCCAAGTGATTAATCAAATTACTCAAATATTTGGTTTCAAACTGAATGTGCAGATAAGAAACCTGGAAAGCCAACGAGTGGACAGTGCTGAATGGGAGAGAAGGATGCAGAGTCCCTCCCTAAGATAAATATATAACAACACAATAATATGGAATCAATGCCACTTCTTTGGGGCTCATCTGGCATCCTCACACAAAATACCAAAACACTTCAGAGACCAATTACACATCCCAAAGCTGCAGAGTCTTTATCATGGTGCCAGGAAAAGGCTAGGCTATTTGTGAAATCTGTAGGCAGTTATGGCGCTTGGGGAGGGGGGCTCAGAATTTTGTACACAATAGAAGAGGGCCGCAAATGCAGCTGGCTTGCAGGATGAGCAACACATTTTCATAATGACCACTCGTTTTTCGAGGATGGCTGCTGAGTTTGTCTGTTTCCAACTTGCTAGCCTTTGAGAAGGGGGTGAGGGAGGCATGGGTGCTAGGCTCCATAGATAATGCTGAAGAGAGAGGCAGGTGGGTGGTGAGGAGCTGCCCAGAGAGAAAGATGGGGTAAGAGCTTAAGATGGGAGCACTGCGGAGAAGGCCAGGGGTGTGGAGAAGACCACCTTCCAACCAGACTTGTGTATCCCAAGCAATAGGCTACTGACTGCTGCTAAAACATGATGATATATACTCTACTGGGTAAGAAAGGGAAGGAGAGGGAGCTAAGGGTCTCTCTGTAGTAGACTGCAAAAAGAGCCACAGATTGTCCCTACACTGCATCCGTGTCCTTGCAGCAGGACATTGCAGATCTTCCCATTCAGAGGTAGAGGCTCTGTCTCCATGCCTTGAATCTAGTGGAGCGTAGGAGTTGCTTTGGCCAACAGATATAGGTCTTGACCTCTCATTGCACTTGGAAACCTGAGACTGCCAGGAGAATGAGCCTGAGCTAGGCTGTTGGGGACATCCCCTCACAGTCTGCCAACCAGCAGACACATGAATGAGGGCAACTAACACTGACTATCCCCTTGTTGACCCAGAGCTGACCACAGTCATCTACAAGAGCCCAGCTACTGAGTCTGGCTCAGCCCACAGCTGTCCACAGGATGGAGAGAAACCACTAAGTTTTGGAGCAGTTACTCAGCAAAAGCTTATACTCAGAACAGCTCAGCCCCTGAAGATTACCTGGGCTGATTTCTTCAAAGCCACTTCTGTCTGGTGCAGAGTTAAGAAGCACCATCTTTCCCCTGATTTAAGAAGAGTTGGAGGCCCGTTCCTAGATCACCAGTCTTTCACCAGCACTTCTCATTCAAAGCGCGAGTCACTCCAGTCAACCCATCGTCTGCATAATCTATGGATACAGAATATAATGTACCTTCTACCAATCACCAAGTTCTTATAAGTGGACTTAAGGAGGTTTTGTCTCACACGGGAAGAGATCAAAGACACACCAGCTCTTCTCTGAGCCCACAGCATCTGCTTTGGGCCTGCCAAGATGCAAGACGTGTGCATTTGGAGTGTCGCTGCTTAAGCCGAGTAGAGGAAGGAGAGAGCGCCTAACTGGCCCTGGGCATCACAGGTCATATTAAGAATGCCACTGCAGAGGCCAGTCCTAATATTACAAGAGAGCCAGTGCCAGAGTTTAAAAACAAACCAAAGGATTGTTTCGCAACTGTTCCATTGAAACCAAAGCTATTTCTCCCCAAGCCTCAAGTCACTGGGAGAAGCCAGAGAGCAAATCCAAGAAAGTCCAAGAAACATTCTCAAAATGTTAGTTCTCTATTAACTACCCCTTCTGTGTATCCATCGACCACAGATCCTGGATATTCCAAACCACAGTGGTAAAGACTACAAATGTGCTCTGCAACTTTCATGAAAACCAGAACAATAGTTATCAGAATCTTGGCTCACACTTGTAATCCCAGCACTCTGGGAGGCCAAGGCAGGCAGATCACCTGAGGTCAAGAGTGTGAGACCAGCCTGACCAACATGGTGAAACCCTGTCTCTACCAAAAATACAAAAATCAGCCAGGTATGGTGCGCATCCCTGTAATCTCAGCTACTCAGAAGGCTGAGGCAGGAGAATCACCTGAACCAGGGAGGCGGAGGTTGCAGTGAGCGGAGTTCATGCCCTCGCACATCAGCCTGGGCAACAAGAGTGAAACTCCATCTCAAAAAGAAAAAAAAATCTTAATCAGGGGTCTGCAGACTATGGCCCATGGGCCAAATACAGCCCACTCCCTGGGTTTATAAATAAAGTTTTATTGGGCCACAGCCCTGCAATTTCTTTTGCAGATTGTCTATGACCGCTTTCAGACTCCAGTGGCCAAGAGCAGTAGCTGCTACAGAAACTGTATGACCCACAAAAATGCAAATATTTACTATTGGGCCCTTTACAGAAAATGTTGGCTGACTACTAATTTAGTGAAATCCACTCATTTCACTTATGAAGACAGTGACTCTTTGAGAAGTTGTTATGCAAATACTTGGACTAGAAGGGGAACTAGACCCGATGTTTCTGATTCCTCATTTAGTAATTTTTGGTTTTGCTCAAGAGTTTTAGCATTAAAAGCATTTTCTGAGGTTAGGCGTGGTGGCTTACAGGCCTGTAATCCCATCACTCTGGGAGGCCAAGGCAGGAGGATTGCATGAGGCTAGGAGTTTGAGACCATCCTGGGCAACATAGCGAGACCCCGTCTCTACCAAAAAATTAAAAAATTAGCCAGGTGTGACCACACACACCTGTAGTGCCAGCTACTTGGGAGGCTGAAGGGAAAGGATCTCTTGAGCCCAGGAGTTCAAGGCTGCAGTGAGCTATGATCACACCACTGCATGCAAGCCTGGGCCACAGAGTGAGACCCTGTCTCTAAAAAAAACAAATAAATTAACGAAGTATTTTCTGGAATCTGAAATCTTAAACCATGTAAGTGAACTGTGCATGCTGGAACTGGAGATGGTCTATTAACCAAAGTGGTCAAGTAAGCAGAAAACCATTTCTCAAGCAGGCCAGAAGCAGAGCTTTGGCAATCCCTGGGTGGGAGCCCAGGTGGAACTGACCTGGTGATGATGGCCAGGTGAGGTGGACTCATGCAGGCGCCCATGAAAAGCACCACGTTCTCGTGCCGCGTCTGCCTGTAGGCCATCACCTCCCGCTTGAAGGCCTTGAGCTGGTCCTCGTTGTCCCTCTCAATGTCAATCAGCCGGATGGCCACCTCACCATGCCAGCGGCCATGGTACACCTGCCCAAAGCGGCCCTTTCCAATGAGCTCGCCGATCTCCAGCTGCTCAAAGGGGATGTCCCACTCCTGAAGGAAGATGCTGGTCTGGCTGGCCTTGCGTGGGAAGCTCCGGGCCGAGAGGAGGGACAGGTTCATCTCCTCGAAGTCATCCTCTGACTCCTCGGCTTCGTCGTGGGCCTCTTCATTCTGTGGCCGAAGTGGGAGAGAGGTCAGAATTGTGCTTGCCACTGCCTCGGCCTCCCTCGTGGTCCTGCAGGGTCTCATGTGCATGCGTAGATCTTGACACATCTCTACATGGATTTGGAGCTGGTGCAGACATACATCCCTCTGTTTCCCTGGGTAGCTCTGATCTAGAATCATCCTACAGTGAAGGTGCTAAAACGGAGATCATGATCGTCTAACTTTCTTGTGCTAAGTGGCGAAATACTGAGGCACGGAGAGAAGTGTTAGGGGATAATCACCCATTTTAATTTGCTGGGATCTTCCTGGTTTTAGCATCGAAAGTCCCTCATGTTGCCCTGGGAAGGATTCACTCCAGGTCATATAGCCAGGCAGAGGAGGAACTAAGATCCAGGTCTCTGGGCTTGAATATCTCACGCTCTTCCTATTCTTCCAAGATCTTTTGGTTAGGTTGCTTATGTGCATGTGATAAAGTCGACAGGTTAGACTGGCTAAAACAATGGGTACGTCATGCATCTGCATGTAACACGTGACAACTGTCAACATGGAGTATCTTATGCTTCCCCCAGGGAATTTGGAATTGATGATTCAAAAATTGGGAGAGGTCAGAGCTACAGACTAGATGTCTGAGGCTTCTACAGCAGCTGGGAGCAGGTAGGAGACATGAGAGTGAGAGGTTAACAGAATGGGCTTAACCATCAGACCAAGTGAGCTGAAATCAGGCCTCTGTGTGACCTTGAGCAGGTTGCTTGACTTCTCTGAGGCTGCCTTTCCTGACTGTAAAGTGGGGGTAATAAAATCTGCCCCAGGGGTGGTGTGAGGTTTTAAATGAAATGAAGACCTGTTAAGTTCTTTGTACAGACCTGACCACCTGTACTAAACACCCACTGAAAGGCCTGAGAAAATGCAGATTCCTGGGCCCCACCCAGCTCTATTGGATGAAAATATCAGCAGGCCGGGATGGGGAATCTGAATTTTTACCATGTTCACCCACATGACTCAGGCATACTTAGGCATGGCTACCACTAGAGTTCAGTGCTCAAGGTGCAGGAACCCTACCATATCAGCGTGATATCTGGGGGTGCTTGAGGGTGAATTGCCTCTTGGATTCTCCTGCAGAATTGTGGGAGCAGCAGATGTCTGGGCCAGTGGGGATTCCCAGAGACCCTGGGACCTGATGAAACAGCCTGAGAAGGTGGCCTCTTGACTGGGCACAGGTCTTCCTGACCCAAAATACCTGAGCAATCTGCCCTTGATGGCACACTCAGGAGAAGCAATATAGGAGACATTGGTTTCTCCCAGGATCATTTTCCAATAACCAAATAGTCACAGAAAAGAACACGATTTTCCTTGGAAGCCCTGACTCTATTCCTTTCAGTGCAAGACACAGTGCAGTGGCAGAGCTGAGTGATCAGAACTCCATGGTTTCCAGCCAGGGCATTTCATGTAGTCCTGCAGCCACTTAGGCAGGTGGGAAGAAGCCCCAGAGCATTCTCAACACTTCCAAGCCCAGCATCCCTGAGGCTTCCATCTCCTCTCACTATTGTTTTGAAGGCAGCAGGGCATATCCCCCTTGGTATTCACCTGGCCCTGAGCTGATCTTTCAACTAAGAATGCAAATCTCTTGCCAATTTCCGCACAACTGGCTTTTCTATGATGCCCGCCATGTAACGGTCCATTAGGCTCAGTACCAGGAGGGGCCACCACTTGCTAATTGTCCTGGAGTTAGAACATCCATCAGTCAGGGCCACCGCAGCCCCCACCTGACCCCAAGCCCTCTGCATCATCAAAAACATCAGTTGGCTTTGCCAAGTTCTGGGCAGCCCCTGGAAAACGTTGCTTCACTGCTTTCTGATTCTCACCTCTGACGTTGGCTCCACTTCAATTTGAAGTAATGGATTTCCTTCCAAGCTGTAAAGAAAGAAAAATAAATGTGATCCCTAGGTGAAAAGGTAGCTCTGTATATTGAATTTAGCTATGTATGAAGCATCCCCAGATGGGAAGTCGTCACCACCAAGCCTTTCTCTCACATTTTATTTTAACACTTGTGTCTGAAATAATCCATAAGCTCGCCACAGAAATACACACACACACACACACACACACACACACACACACACACACACACAAAACAGTACACAAGGACATTGTTTTAAGTTGATTTACCGGGCTGCTCAGGGCTCATTTTTCTTTATTGCTTTGGTTTCAACTAATGTAGCAGCTTTCTTATAAATTGGCCTAAATCCTAAGTAGACAAGTCCTTAGAGCTCTATGTGTTTGCCAGGAAAGAACTAATCAGATCTCCAAAGTTTACTCAAATTTGGAATTTCTTGGAAGGATCTTAGTGTTCTTGTTTGTCTGGTCATTCATGTGACTATTTAATAGATGTGAGTTCAGGAACAGTGTTAGGCCCTCGAAGGGATATAGAATTGAAACTGGCATGGCTTCTGACCTTAAGAGATATTGTATTCCTACTGAAGGAAGGAAAGCCACTATTCAGATACTATGCAGACAGGCTAAAAGTAACAAGGCCAAAAAAGTTAGGTATGAGTTGGATAAATGGAGTGTGGTGGGAATTCCAAGATGAGAGAATTATTGGATGTATTTGAAAGTTTCCAGTGTTTGAGGTAGATCTTGTCAATCACATGGAATTAGGATATGTGGAATGAAAATAAAAAGACTGTATTGAACTGGAAGACTGTGTGTGTGTGTGTGTGTGTATGTGTGTGTGTGTGTGTGTGTGTTGCGTTCACAAGCTCATGAGCTGCAGTTCTGTTCTTAGTAAGCAAACACATTGGGTACAGATGCTGGCGGGGGTCACAATGTGTGTGAGTACCACATAGGTATTATGGGAGGTGCTTTGTGCAGGGTTGTCTTGTGTGCATGTGAGTTGGGGGCACACACAGGATGTCGAGGGGGATGCTGTATGCTGACGGTATAATTGGGTGTGCATTTGAGGTGCGAGAGAAATGTCAAATGCATATGACATTTGACGTGATGGGTGTGGGGCACAGTGTGCATTACAGGTATGTTGCGGGAGTTAGACTTAAGGATGTGTATGTGTTTTTGAAGTGCAGCAGGGAGACAGAACTGGGCTGCTGAAGGCATGGAATAGCTGAAACAGGTGAGAAAAAAGAAGTACAATGAATACCCTATCCCTTTCCTATTTCCCCAGTGAAAACCTAGTAGATTCCCTCTCTCTCCTCCTGCTTTGACCCTCAGATGGCAGGAAGTGGGTGACTCTGCAGACAGAGTCAGTCCACGTGGCTGGAGGGGGTCCTGGTGAGAGAGAGTCTGAAAGGTCACAAGAACTAAAAGAAGGAGAAAGAAAGGTCAATCCCAAAGTGGCATTTGCCACAGTATTAACCAATTTATAGCACAGCCAGGGAAGGTGGAATGAATCTGCACAGTGACAGCTGACATGCTGGGAACTTGATGCCCTGGAGGAGACTTGGGTGGGACAATGCAACTGGAGTCCCTCCTCATGCCCAAAACCAAAACAGGCCACCCTCCTCTCTTTGCATCAAAGCATGATTCCAGCATCCAGAGCTATTCAATGATTTCCCTCTGCAAAGAGTTGCCATCACTCCACGCACATTTAAGCAGATTGCAAGCAGCTCTTCACTCTGTTTTTTGCTGGTACTTCTGGACTGTCAGTTAATAATCTGGAGTTCATCTTGCACAAATTGTAGAATTGGTTTATGTGAAGCAGAGAAATGATCCAGAGCTAGATGTCAGCACAATATCCCCCGGCAAGTTGCTGTTCCTTTGATTTCAGAGATGTACCATTTAAGTCTTTAACAAAGTCCATATGACCAGTCAGAAAAGATGAAGCAGTTAGGAGACCCAGAAGAAAAACCAAGTAGGCACAAAGGTGAGTTGGGAAACTGGTCAAATCCTAGCAAGCCCCAGACTTCCATCACAACCAAAGAAGTTAATGAGGTGACTCAGTGACTTCACTTTTTTTTTCTTTAGACAAGAGTTTCCCTTTGTCACCAAGGCTAGAGTATACTGGCATGATCCCAGCTCACTGCAACCTCTGCCTCATAGGTTCATGCAATTCTCCTGCCTCAGCCTCCAGAGTAGCTGAGATTACAGGTGTGTACCACCATGCCTGGCTAATGTTTGTATTTTTAGTAGAGATGAAGTTTTACCAATTTGGCTAGGCTGGTCTCAAACTTCTGACCTCTGTGACTGTGATTCTCCCATCTCAGCCTCCCAAAGGGCTGGGATTACAGGTGTGAGCCACTGCGCCACCTGGCCAAGATGACTTCACTTCTGCTGCATGAGCAACAAACCACCTGGAAAGAGGGCCTGTATCCTAATAATGCCATGCACAAAGATGTTCATTGTAGCATTATTTACAACAGTGAAATACTGGAAGCAATGTAAAAAAATCCAGCAACAGGAAATGATTAAGAAAATTATTCTATATCAATATGTCATTTTACAGCCATTAAAAGCAAAGTGAAACAGGTGCAGTGGCTCATGCCTGTAATCCCAGCACTTTGGGAGGCTAAAGAGGAAGGATCACTTAAGTCTAGGAATTCAAGACCAGCCTAAACCCTGTCTCTACAAAAAAAAAAAAAAAAAAAAAAAAAAAAAAAAAAAAAAAAAAAAATTAGTTGGGTGTGGTGGCACACACCTGTAATCCTAGCTACTTGGGAGGCTGAGCTGAAAGGATCGCTTGAGCCCAAGAGGCAGAGGCTGCAGTGAGCTGTGAGATCATGCCACTGCATTCCAGCCTGGGTGACAGAATGAGACTCTGTCTCGAAAAACAAACAAACAAGAAACAAAAACCAACAATGTCTATGGAGAGGCTAAAATAATCAGTTTAAAATGTGATCTTCAGCATAAAGATAACAAAACAGGATGTAACTGCTTACATATATTGTGGGTCATAACTATGTAAAATATAAATGGAAAAACACACATAAAAGTTCTAACAGTGGTGAGATCATGAGTGATTATTTTGCCTTCTCCTTTTTAAATAGTCCAAATTTTTCAAAATTAGCTTATATTATTTTTATAATAATATGAACCAGAGGTTAGCAAATTTCTTTCTGCAAAGGACCATAGAGTAAATATTTTTTGGCTTTGCAAGCCATACAGTTTCTATTATAACTACTTGACTCTCCTGCTGTCCTGAGAAAGCAACCATGCACAACACATTGTAAACAAATAGGCATGACTGTGTTCCAATAAAACTTTATACAAAAACAAGAAGAAGGTTGGATCCATCCCATAGGCTATAGTTTGCTGATTCCTGGTATAAACCTAAATAAGACTTTTGAAAGTTATTCCATGTTCAGTGACATGGAATAATTACCACTTCATTAAGCTCTAGCTATCACCTGGGAAAGCAGTCTTTCTAATCATAGGGGGGTTATGGGTCCTTAGGAAATGGCCCAGCCCCTGGAAATTGCATTTGACAGGCAGGGTCAGAGACACAAGGCATAGCTGGCTTGTGAAGAACAGCATTGCCTCTCTCTCCATCTCTCTGCCTGGGCTGTCAGGCTCTTTCTCTTTGCCGAAGTTATTCCCTACATCTCTCTGCCCACCTTGTACTTCTCCCTCTGCCCCCAGCTACATCAAATCCAGGAATAGGAGGAAAGAAGACAGGGAACCTGAGTGGATTGTAGAGCCAGGGCTGGGAAGCTCAAGGAAGGGGAAAGAGGTCTCTGTCCCACTTACATTGGATTCGAGGTCACCGGATGCAGGATCACCTGGGGCGCCCGGGTCGGTGTCTCTGGCACTGGCACCACATCTGAAAACCAGAGATTGGACATTCAGAAAACAAATGTGAAGTCCACAACCCCTGAAAAGGCCTAATTCCTGGGAGATGTGGCAGCTAGTATTTCACCAGATCTTGGAGCTCTGTCTGTGGCCAATCTCCTTTTTCCTTTTCTGGACCACCTGGACTTTATCTGCTCAGCTGGTCCAGTTTTCTGGATGACATCCTCAACAAAATTATCCACTGTTGAGGAGGGGGCTGCCAGAACCCCCAGGCATCTAGCCTGAAGCATTCATTAGTCATCTCTGAACTTCCTTTCTCCTAAGTTCCCTTTGGGATGATAAGGCCCCCTGGTTTCACATCTTCTCTGTACTCAGCTCAGGACCCTCTGACCATCTCTTCCCTGCTACGTGGCTCTAGACCCCTCCTCACCCTTGCCCATTTTTCCACGGCACTACACCTTCTCAGGCCTTTCCATTGTGCCTTGGGACCTCCTTGGGTCCCACAGTGCCCTAAGGTCTTCCCACTCTTTTCCACTTCCATGTTCAGCCATTATCCTGGAGTGTGGTGACTCTACTACTGCCCTCTTTGATTTCAGGCATCCCCACAACATCTGCCTCCATTCATCCCAGAAACTCCGTAACCCAGCAGGGCTTGTTCGCAAGGGGCTGCTTGCAGCTCACATGAAACTCACCTGGGAAGATGAACTGCTGCTTGTATTTGTAGTAGTGGGATGCTTGCAAAAGAAAGAAAACATCAAAGTGAGTGTCCCCAAGGAAACATCCCTTCAGGGACCGAATTGAGCTCTTACAGCCACCACGTGGTCATTCTCTGCCCACCTTCAAGAGTTTCCATACTTCTGCAGACATCCCTGCAGACGAGGGACTGCAAACATGTGTAAAGAAACCAGAACTCTAAACATTCATGCCAACCCTCCCAACCGACATTTCACACTCTAAAAGCAGACTGCTCCAACTCAGACATTCTAACTATAATACCAGTTTTGTGAAATACATAATTATACACACACACACATACACACACACACACACACACACAGAGAGAGAGAGAGAGAGAGAGAGAGAGAGAGAGAGAGAGAGAGAGAGAGAAAGTCTGCAAAGCCATAATCTAAAATATTAACTTTTCCCCCTTTTGGCAGAATGATTACAGTGGCTTAAAAAATCCTTTATGCTTTTTCTGTACTTTCCAAATTTTCTGTGCCAAGCATGGTATTAGTTTTCTTTTTTGTGGCTGTAACAAATTACTACAAACTTCGTGGCTTAAAACAACACAGATGAAACCTCCTACAGTTCTGGAGGACAAAATCTGAAACAAGTCTTACAGGGCTAAAATCAAATTAGTTCCTCCTAGGGGCTCTAATAAAATCTGTTCCTTGTCTTTTCCAGTTGTTTGAGGCTGCCTGCATTTGTTGGCTCATGGCCCCATCACTCCAACCTCTGCTTCTGCTGTGCCATCTCCATCTTCTGCCTTTGACCTTCTTGCTTCCCTCTGATAAGGACCTTTGTGATTACATTAGGGACTTCCCAGATAATCTAAGATAATCCCTCCCGCTCAAGTCCATAACTTCATCATATATGCAAAGTTCCTACTGTCCTATAAAGCAGCATCTTCCCAGATTCTGAGATAAAGACATGGACATCTTTTGGGAATGAGCATTATTCTACCTACCACAAGCATGAATTAACTTCTGAATTTAGGAAAAAGTATATAAAAGAAATATTCTGGACTTCACTGCTGGTTCCCTGACAATTCCTTTTACTTCTAATTTACTCACCAGAGGCCAGGGGTCTCAGACACTTAAAGATTTCTAACATTAGCACTTACCCCATTAGGGAACAATGCCTGGAATAAGGGGCTTAGGGGTGTTGGGGGAAGAGAACACAGAGCTTTGTGTCCTCAAGTAAATGAAGAGGGCAGGGATATAGTCAGATAAGTCTGTATTGGTGAATCCACTTCCAGAAACAATTTGATGACATTCAGGGACAAGCCACCACTGGAGTTGGTTTATCAAATATTAGCACAACAGCTCAGAACCTAGAGTCTAGAAGCTTTTCCTACAAGGTCAGATCTTTGCTCTGCCTTTGGTTATTTGTGGAGACTCTAAGTCTCACTGTCCACATGTGTAAAATGAGGATAATATCAGTTGCTTCCTCAAAGGGCAAGGACCATCATTATGAGATAGAAGTGTACTGAAGGTAGTATTATGTGAGAAGTAAAAAAGTTCCTCTTTAAAGTTTCCTTTCTTGTTAAAGAATAAATCGTAAGTGTGCTAATAACCCTTTGTTAAGCCCTGTCCTATGTAGCATGTAGGACATTCTATGTCTTTGTACTTTAACCAAGATATCTGTGCTGGACGTTCTCACAGGCATGACCCAGCTCTCCATTGCTTTAAGGATTTAGAAAAGTTTTAAGTTATTAGCCAATTGGGTTTTAGTTTAGATTGTGATGTCTAGCTCCAGCCAATGGAGATCAGACATAGCAGTAAGGACAACCCCAAATGCGTAAAGAATAAATATGTCTGTTTTCCTTTGTTCATTGTACTCTCATGGCAAAATGGCTAGTGAGAGTACCCTTCCTGCAGGCTGGGATAAAAAAATTGCATTGCTGAAAAATCCTTTGTCTCAGTACTGATTTTCTTTGTGGCACTGAGCATCTATTACCTAGAGTCTAGAAGCTGATCCTATAGGGTCAAATCTTTGCTCTACCTTTGGTTATTTGCAGAGACTCTAAGTCTCACTGTCCACATGTGTATAATGAGAATAATAACAGTCCCTTCCTCAAAGGGCAAGAACCATCATCAAGAGATAAAGGTGTATTGAAGGTAGTATGAGCTGTGAGATAAATAAATTTCTAAGCTCTCTTAACTTATAGACAAGAATGATAAGTTGTCTTAAGACAACTTATAATTAAGAGACAATCAGATAGTTCCAAGTGCTAACTAAATCTTTTGCTTTGGGGAAGCAGACAGAACACCCTCTTTGAGGTTAACATTTACTGATAGATTCCTTTAGGATAGGGAGTAAGTCCTACTATCTCAGGATCCCAAACTCCTGGTTCTGTGCCTTGCACCAGTCAGTGTGTAACACACATTTGTTGAAGTAATCAACTCTTTGTATTATAGGTGAAACAGCAGAAACATTGGCCTTAGTCCGATTCCAGCTTATATTAAATACTTGGAGTCCAGATGGATACATTTTTGATTCTGGAAAATGGGATATCCAGGGCAAGAAGCAACATATTCAAGGTTACAGAGTAAAGCTTTAAAAGAAAAGCACCCTTCATGACTTCAGGGATTGTTTTACTGTTAGATAACACAAGTTTTTATTGCACGATACTATTTTATTAGTCAGTACGGGGCTAAAATTAAAACAGGAACAACTACACGGAGGCTTGGCTGATCTTTTTCCTCCCCAGCTCTGACAGTGATGGGGATTCAGTGTCGGCAGAAAAGGTTAGCTGACAGTTACGTTCTTTTTGGAAGGGAGGGGTTGGGCAACGGAGAGCAAGGGCTGCTTCAGAGAGTCTGAGAAGGGACAGGTGCCAGGCAACCGGACACCAGCAAATGCCTCTACACCCGGAGCCAACGCCCTCCTTGACTCCTCCCCATAGACCATGGAACAGCTTGTTCCTGGTGACCAAAAGGGAAACGCATGGACAGAAGAGGAGGAAAGACATTGCTGGGAGACCTGTTCTTCCCGCTGATGACAGACGCTGGCAAGAAGTGGCTCTAAAGAACAGCTGGTGACCCTGAGTGGGCTGCTCAGGAGAGCCAAGTGGCTCCTGGCTTGCTGGCATCCAAGATGACTCAGGACCTGGGAGGCTGCAGATGAAGTCAGAGACAAGCAGACCACTTTGAAGGAGCTTCCCCTCTGGAGGTAAGCCCCACGCCTACCCCGATCCTTCCCAAGAGACCAGGTAGGGGGTCTTCTAGAAGAAAAAAGGGTCAAGTGGTTGTCTGCCTAAACCTTTCAACTCAATCCTATGGGGTCTTACATAAAATCTACATTTCCACCAGGCACAGACTCTGCAGCTCTGAGTCTCTCTGGAGGCCACTTTCTCTCGTTTGCGGCACTTGGGCCCCTTCTTGTGACTGGGTCTTTGCCTTACCTCCCCAACCTGCAGAACTCAGCCAGCCAGGGACCCTCCAACCTAAATTTGTTCTCTTGCATTTGCTCAAGGACTCTTGCAAAGGCTCTTAGCCTTCACAGCCTTCATCACAATCTATTATCCCATTTTCATGCGTATGTTTATTTGGTTAACACCTTTCTTTCTCACTAAGCTATACTTTTCATGAGAACTGGGGCTGTTGTAATGAGAATAATGCCTGCCCCCCTCCCCGCCCACCGCTCCACCATAACATGTTCAGGTCCTAATCCCTGGAAACTATAAATCCATTTCATTATATGACACAAGGGACTTTTAGGATGAGATTACTTAAGGATCTTGAGATGGGGAGATTATCCTAGATCATCTGGGTAGGCTTGATGTCATCACAAGGGTCCTTAGAGGAGGGAGGCAGGGTCAGAGAAGGAGATGTGATCATGGAATCACACAGGTCAGAATGAGGAGGGGTCATAAGCAAAGTAATGTGGTCAGCCCCTAGATGCCAGGAAAAGGCAAGGAGATGGATTCTCCCCGAGACCTTCCAGAACAAACCAGCCCTGTTGACATCTTGGTTTTTAGCCCAGTGAAGCTCATTTTGTTTTGGACATCTGGCCGCTAGAACCATAAGATAATAAATCTGTGTGCTTTTAAGCCACTAAGTATGTGGTCATTTGTTACAATAACATTAGGAAGTAAATACAGGGGACACATCTGGTTTGTTCGCTGCTCCAAATCTAGTGCCTAGTATAGTAGTTGGTACACAGTAGATGCTTAATAAATACTGTTAATGAAATGAATGGATGAATGCAGTCTGAAGGCCAAGAAGAAAAGTTAAAAAGAAAAAACTGCAGCCCTGGGCAGTGCATGAAATTCAGGACATTCATCTGACAAACACTTAATGAGTGCCTTCAGTTGTAGGCAATGCCTTGGGTTTTGAGCATGGATTGGTGAGTGAAGGCATGCTGCCTGGTCTCATGGAGCTCCCATTCTGATGGAGGAAGCACTTAACAAGTGAGTATGTAAACCAGATCATGGGACAGAGTGATGAGCATAAAAGAGGGACTCAGGACAGACTGATGGAAAGGGGAAGTAAGGAAACACTTTCATGAGCTCAAGTGGCCCAAGTGAGGTCTCAAAAATCCTGCAAGCTCCACTAAAGGCAGATTTCACCTCCTTTCTTAATTTGAGCCATTAGAATATGCCATTTCCTGCAGTTGGTGTGTGTGTGTGTTTGTGTGTGTGTGTGTGTGTGTGTGTGTGTCAAGATGGCTCTAGGTGGCTCCAAAGAAAGAAGGTATTTGAACACTCTGTCCTCAGAAACCCATAAGACAACCATTTCCAAAGCCTCTTCATCTATCTTGCCATGGTGGATGTACCCACAACTCTGAATTGTTAGTCCCATGTTACCGATGAGAAACAGACCCAAACAGAGGCAATGCCATGTTCAAAGCTGCACAGTTAGGAAGGAGAGGAAGGAGCAAAGCTGGGATCCAACCCCAGGTCTGTCTGTCCATGAAGCACTCTTGATGACACCTTATACTGGGCCATGTCCCACACTGCCTCAGGACTCAGGGAAAGGTAGAGAACAGGAGTTCCACCCAACTGGCAGCGCACAGTCACAAATACCATGCTGTGCACGCCACGCTTGGGGTTCTAACAGCCTTTTTACCGCATGTCCTGAGGCTAACAGATGTGTCAAATGGCTGGTCACCCCCCAGCCCCTTTTGGACAAGAATGTTCTAGATGAATCAGCGCTGGAGACATCGTTATGCTTAGGCTTTAGCCTAAATAACCTTCAGAAAACTCAACATCTGGCAGCCAAAGCTCCATTTTTCATCAACAGAAGCTCTCAGTCAAGATTGGGACAGCTGACCAGACCTTCACACAAACAGGACAAGTACTCATGTCCCTGGAGGTGTTTTGCTAAAACTGCCTAAGATACAGGGTAGATCTGACAGTGCTTCCAAAAGGCTGTATTTTGTTTTCCATTTCAGCCCTGAATTTTATTATTATTCGATTCTAAAATGGATGTGCACTCATAGACATTGTAAAAGTGCTTAAGATAAGGTCCCTCTCCTCAACAACTGCCATGAATTTCTTACAGACTTTATTGCGCACATGTGAACACATATACACACTGGTACACACACATACGTATATGTAAATATTTTACAATTAACAGAATGTTATACTGATGACTTTGCAAATCACTTATTTTCTACTTAAGAAACATTATGGATATCTTTTCATGTCAGGAAATCTATAGAGAATACTACATTCCTTTGAAAGTTTGCAGGATATTTGGTTATACAGATATATGTGTGTATCCAACCATTCACCTCTTGATGGGCATTTGGGTTAATTTCCGTTTTCACTGTTACAATGAAGTCCTTATATACATATCTCTGCACCCCAGTGCAAGTGTTCCTGCATATAAATTCCTAGAAGTGTTATACTACTGGTCAAAGGGATGCACATTTAAAACTTTAACAGGGCCGGGTGTGGTGGCTCACGCCTGTAATCCAGCTCTTTGGGAGACCCAGAAAGGCAAGTTATTTGCCCAACATCAGATAGACATTAAGTGATAAAACTCAGATTTGAACCTAAACAGCTTGGCTGCAGAGCCCACACTCTGCCATGCCGAAGAGCTTTTCCCCAAAGGACCCCTTAGCCCAGTCCCTAGAGAGAGCCAGGACCTTGTCATGACCTGTCATGAAGCAGGAGGGGATAAGGTGGCATGCCAGCACAGCAAATTGTCAAGCACCCCTCCTTGGAGACTCTGGCTGAGGGAAGGAAGGAGCTAAGGGCTACCCCGATTACGCCTAGCTAGGCAGATCTCTCATCTGAAGATGCCAGCAGATTCCTTAAGGGGTGAAAAGAGCTGTGGTGCTTTTGTGCATAGTTCTCCCATAAAACGGCTCTTCCCCAGGCCTTGGTCCATAAACAAGCGCCAAACAATTTTTAGAGAAAATACTCCTAAAATCAGTGTTTCCAGAGAGTGAAGTGGCTATTGGCAAGCATGGGCCAACCTCCCCCAAGTGTAGGTGGTCATGGGAAGTCTAAGGGTCTTTTATTTCCCTTCATCCCCTTCTGAAGAAGTAAAAATGAACAACCCTGGAGATGGCGGTGGGGGCCTTCTGTCCGTGAAAATGCCGGGCAAGGAATCGGTGGCACTTACTAAGACGATGCAGCTGGTGGCTCGCGTTGCAATCCTTGGTGGCTGCCAGGTGAGTGGCCCTTGCACTAGGTGGATATGAGGCTGTTAAATTCAGACTTGAACTTAACAAAAAACCCAACGTTCCAAGAATTCAAAATATCCCCCATCTCTGTGGACATGGCCCAAATCAAAACAGTGTGGGCAGGTGCTGTGATTAGCTTGTCCTCAGATGGGTGGTGGCATGTGGGTGCTGCCCAGGTGTGAGGCGGGACCTCCATTTGCCTCCTGGCCATTCACTCATGTCTGGTTAAGCTTTAACCTAGGAGGCGTGAGCTGTGGCCAAGGACCTGGGTTTTTTTTTTAATAGCGTTGACTCAGGAGGAAATCAGACCCTAGGCCAGGGCATTCAGTGGAACGTTTGGTGATGATGGAAATGTTCTATACCTGAGCCATTCAGTATGGCGGCCACCAGCCACACGTGGCTACTAAGCCCTTGAAATGTGGCTAGTGCAACTGATAAACTAATTTTTAAATTACATTTAATTTTAGTTCATTTAAATGTAAATAGCCACACATGGCTAGTGGACACTATATTGAATAACACCTGGTTCCAACTGGCCATACCAGTCCCACCACCTTCTTTTTGAAGTCTGCTGCAGTGACACAAATATGGTAAGTAGGAAACATTCTTAGGGCCCTAGCACAGGAATTGGGCTAGGCTGGAGCCTGGAAGAGATGGGGAGATTCTTAGGTCTGGTCTACCTGAAGGAAGAACAATGTCCCATTCTTAGGTCTAATGACAAAGGAGGCCAAGAAGCCACAGTGTCCCATGAGTGGCTTCTCCACTATCATCTCATAGCTCAGTGCATATTCCCAGCTCAGGTGCCCTGGAATTCCTGAGCTAGAGGAACCTTCCAGATCATCTTGTTCAACCATCTACATCTTTTCGGAGATGAGACACAGCAAGAATGCAATAGACCTGGATCTGGACTCCAGGAGTCCAAACTACTCAGTCACAGCCCCATCCTGACATCTGACTTAAGACTCAGTCTGCAGCCCTGCTCAGACGTGTGCCCCTAAGACCTCCAGCACAGACTCTCGATGCCAATTTTAACCAATTTAGTTCGTAAGACAACTGTCAACTCCAAAGCCAATAGCTCCCTTCTGTGACTTAGACGTAGGTGAAGACCCTGGGTTGTGCCTTGCCAAAAGACAGAGTCTCTAAGAGTTCCTGCATCTCTTTGAGCCTCTGTTTCTTCATCTGTGAAATGAGCTGATAATGCTTACCTTGTGGCTGTTCCAAAGATTAAACAAGTGATATAGGATAATTGCTTAGGATACGATCAAGGTCAGTCCATGTCCTTCCTTGGCCCTCTCTGGTCATGGACCCATCGCCTTCCAGCATAGACTTGCTGCATCAGGGCTCTGGAGTGAACCCACCCCCTCCCTCATCTCTGTCCCTCCAACACTGCAGACCCCATGTCTCCCCAAGCATGGAGGTACCTGGCAGATTGAAGTTCTTCTGCTGCCGTGTGCACTGCGGGGAAGGGTGTAGGGGAGAAGGCGGCGTGGCGCTAGGAGGGAGAGGGGGTGCTGGCGAGGAGGGTGTAGAGGACGTCGTGGAGGAGGGGTTGCTGCTGGAGTCTGGCTGGTAAGGGACGGGGATGTGGTCCTGCAAAGAGAAAACAGGGCAGGAGTCAGGGACAGGCAAGGAAGCAGAGGCACAGCAGAAAGAGTGGGCTGAGTAGGAGAGGTCCCCACCCCAGCCCCCACAACAACCCTTGCCCTTTCCTCAACCACCAGATCCTTCTACAGTCTCTCCTGCTTCATCAGCCCCACTGGGCTGCATCCAGCTGTGGAAGGAACAGCCTCTGGCATCGATTTCCTGTCCACTGCTTGGACCCCCAGAGTGAAAGATGACCACATAATGAAAACCACACAGGTGACAGCCACGCACCCTGTGCCTCTTTGATTCTGAAAAACCCCATGCAGAGGTGTCCAGAGTACCCCTCCCATCCCAACACCTCTCCTCCCAAGTGTTTTATTAAAGAATCAACAGCCTGACAGCTTCAGAGAGAATGTGAGAGTGAGCCTTCAGCATCTTAGCTCGGGTCACAGCTGGAATCAGCTTGGCCTCTTCTCACCCCAGACCAGCTCAAAAACAAGGATAGAGATAGAATCCATCTGTGCATTTTTGGAATAGCCTACTGAGTTGGACTTCCGAGCAGAGTAGTGAGTTGAACAGCAAACCCCAAAAGATGTCCACCCGGGACCTCTGAATCTGATCTTATTTAGAATATAGGGTCTTTGCAGACATAATTTGAAGTAAGGGTCCTGAGTGAGATAATCCTGGATTTGGGCAAGTACTAAATCCAAGGATAAATATCCTTATAAGAGACCGGGGGTTGATGGGGGGGAAGATACATGGAAAGGAAAGTCACATGAAGATGGAGGGAGAGACTGGGGTGATGCAGCCACAAGCCAAGGGCTGCTGGGGCCACCAGAGGCTGGGAGGGAGGCATGGGACAGATTGTCCTTCAGAGCCTCTATAAGGCAATCCTGCTGGCATCTTGACCTTGAATTTCTGGCCTCTAGAACCATGTGACAATAAATTTCTGTTGTTTCAGCCACCCAGCTCATTTGTTACAGCAGCACCAGAAAATTAATAGCAGGATCCAGAGTCAGGAAAACCTGGACTCAAATCCCACAGCCACCTCTTCTCTGTGCACGCTGGGCAAAATGCCCAACCTTTCCATTCCTCGGCTCTGTCCTCTGTAAAATGGGAATAAGGATAACATCAAGGGCACAGGGCTACGTGAAGATTCAATGATGTGGAGGCACAGGAGGGAGGAAGGCAGGCGGCGAGGAAGAGTAGCTGTATGCATTTGCAGGCATGTTCTCCCGAAAAGGGATACGTTGGTGCTGCCTGAACCTTAGAAAGCATTTCGCCTCTTTGGGACACTTTGCTTTCAACAGATGGCAAGAGATGAACAAAAGTAGCAAACATCCACATCACTTAAAAGGGATTCCTGCCTCTCAAAGCCAGTAGAGCTAAGTGCTCCCAGGGGAGCCTTCATCTGTTCACCCACAGGACAGTGGTCACTTGATCCCTCCATTACTCAGAGGTCCACTCCTCAAGAGGTCCAGGTACCCAAAAATGTTTTCGTGTGGTCAGCAGGTATACTTACCTATCAACTCCAAGAGTAGGTATGTAGCAAAGGAGGTCAAGGGCAGAAGAGGAAATGAACATTCTCTGTCCAGACGCTTACTGAGTGGCCAGCTAGGTTGTACATTTCATCCTACCAAAGCCCATTCCACTGCCACTAAGTTCATACTCCTTCTGGGTCAGTGAGTCTCTCTTTATCTATTTATTTATTTTAGATGTGTTCTCACTCTGAGGCCTGGGCTGGAGGGTAATGGCACAATCACAGCTGACTGCACGCTCGGCCTCTTGGACTCAAACGATCCTCTCATCTCAGCATCCTGAGTAGCTGAGACACAGGCATGCACCACCATGCCCAGCTTTAAAAACTTTTTTTGTAGAGACAGGGTCCCACTATGTTACTCAGGCTGGTTTCAAACTCTTGGGCTCATGAGATCCTCCTACCTTGGCCTCCCAAAGTGCTGAGATTACAAGTGTGAGCCAATGTGCTCAGCCTCCTTATCCTTAACATGGGCTAAGAACATCCAGCTTTTAGTTCTGTGGTGAAGTTGAAATGAGTTATGTATCTACCTACCTCCTTTGTACTGGGTAGAGGCAGTTTGTCATCAGTAAATGGTAGCGATTATGTTAATGATATTGATTAAACTTTTTATTTTGAGATCATTGTGGATTCACACGTAGTTGTAAGAAGAGAGAGATCTTATGTTTCCTTTACTCAGTTTTCTCTACTGATAACATCTTATGAAACTACAGTACAATATCACAACCCAGATAGTGAACTGATACAGTCAAGATATGGAACAGATCCACCAAAATGAAGATCCCTCATGTTGCCTGTTTATAGCCATGACCATTTTCCTGCTCTCTCCTCACCATTCTCCCCTAATCTTTAACCCCTGGCACCTCTAATCTATTCTACATATCTGTCCAGTATAATAAACACTAGCTATGTGTGGTTTCTGTTTTTGTTTTTTTGAGATAGAATCTTGCTACATTGCCCAGACTGGTTTCAAACTCCTGGGCTCAAGCAATCCCATTGCCTCAGTCTCAATCCCAAGTAGCTGGGATTAGAGTTGTGCACTACTGTGCCTAGCTCTATTCTCCATTTCTATAATTTTATCATTTCATTGTTTTATCAGTGGAATCATATAGTATGTAATCTTTTCAGATCGACTTTTTTCCCTTGGAATAATTCTCCATAGATTCATCCAAATTGTTGCATGTATCGATGGTTTCTTCCTTTTGATTGCTGAGTAGTACTCTATGATATGGATGCACGAGAGTTTGCTTAACCATTTACCCACTGAAGGACATCTAAGTTGTTCTATATTTTTCACTATTGTGGATAAAGCTGCTATAAACATTTATTTACAGGATTTATATGAACATATGTTTTTATTTCTCTGAAATAAATGCTCAGAAGTACACTTTCTGGATAATATAGTAATAATATGTTTAGTTTTAAAAGAAAACACAAAAACTGTTCACTAGAGTGGCTGCACCATTTTACATCAGCAGTGTAGGAATGACTGATTTTTCTCTGCATCGTAGTCAGTGTTTGGTGGTGTCACTATTTATTATTTTTGCTATTTTAATTGGAGTATAGTGATATCTCATTGCAGCTTTAATTAGCATTTCCTAATGGCTAAGATACTGAACATATTTTCATGTGTTTACTTGCCATCTGTATATCCTTTTTGGTCTTGATTACTGTAGCTATATAATAAGTCTTGAGATCAGGTAGACTGATTGCTCTCACTTTATTATTTTTCAAAAGAATAAAGCTATTGTAGATATTTTAGTTCCTTTGCCTTTTCACATAACTGTTAGAATAATCATGTCTTTATTTATAAAAATAATCTTGCTTGGTTCTTGATACAAATTGTGTTAAATCTATGTATGGATTTTTGGGAGAACTGACTTCTTAACTATGTTGAATCTTCCAATCCATGAACATGGTATGTGTATCAGTTTCCTAGGTCTGTTGTAACAAAGTACCATAAACTAAGTGGCTTAAAACAATGGAAATTTATTCTCTCACAGGTCTGGAGGCCAAAAGTTCCCAGCCAAAGTACTGGCAAGGCCGTGTCTCAGGATCCCTCTGAGACTTTAGGTGGAATCCCTCTTTGCCTCTTCCTACCTCCTGGTGGTGGCCAGCAATCCTTGTCATTACTTAGTTTGCAATTGTATCACTCTAACTTCTGCCTTTGTTGTCACATGGTGCTCTCCCTGTGTGTCCCCATTTCTCTTCTCCTCTTAAGGATGAAAGTCACATTGCATTAAGGGACCACCCTTCCAGTATACCCTCATCTAAACTTGATTATATCCACAAAGTTCCTATTTCCAAAGATCACATTCACAGCTCCTGTGAGTTAGGACTTTAGCATATCTTTGTGGAGAATACAGTCCAACTGGTATCTGTTTCCATTTATTTTGATCTTTGTTTCCTTTTACCAGCATGTTGTAGTTTTCAGCATACAAGCCCTATACATGTTTCGTCAGATATACACCAAAGTATTTCCATTTGTTCTGCAATTGTAAATGGCTTGTTTCTAATTTAGGTTTCCATACGTTAATTGCTACTATATAGAAATGTAACTGATTTGTATTGATCTTGTATTCTGTGACTTTGCTGAATTCACTAATTCTAAGAACTTTTAAATATATATATATATATTCATTGGGATTTTTGTATTTTCTTTGGGATTGTCTATATAGATAACAATGTCATTTGCAAATAAGGACACTTTTATTTCTCCCTTTCCAATCTGCAAGTCTTGTTTCCTTTTCTTGCCTTACTGCATTGACCAGGACTTCTAGCACTATGTTGAATAAGAATGGTGAGAGTGGACATCCTAGCTTGTTCCCAGTCTTATAGGAAAACAGTTTTTCATCACCAAGTATAATGTTAGCTGTAGTATTATTTTAGGTGCTTTTTACGAAGTTGACGAATTTCCTCATTTTTTTTTTTCGATTTCTTTTATCATGAATGGTTGTTGAATTTTGTCAAACAATTTTTTGATTCAGTTGATATAACCATGTTATTTTTTATTCTTAGCTTGTTAATACAGTGAATTATGTTAATTCATTTTTCAGATATTGAGCCAATCTTTTATCCCTGGAATAAACTCCACTTTCATACATTGCTGAACTCTATTTTCTAAATATTTTGTTACGTATTTTTACATCTATATTAATAAATAATATTAGTCTATAGTTTTCCTTTTTTGTACTCTGGCTTTAGTATCAGGATAATATGGGTATATATCATGAATTGGAAAATACACTCTTCTGTTTGGAAGAGATTGTGTACAGTTGGTGTTAATTCTTCTTTAGATATTTGGTAGTACTCTCCAGTGACACCATCTGGAGATTCTTTTTTTAGAGTATGATAATTTTAAAATTGCAAATTCAGTTTTCTTTAATGTTTACAAGGCTATGCAAATTATACATTTCATACTGGGTGAGTTGTGGCAGTTTGTGATTTTCAAGAAACGGGTTTATTTCATCTAAGCTACAACATGTATATGTGTAGCATTGTTCGTATGTTCTCTTTTTATCCATTTGATGACTGCAGGGTCTGTAGTGATGTCCCATCTCATTCCTAATCATTGTAATTAGAGTTTTCTCTTGTTGGTCTTGCTACAGGTTTGCCAATTTCATTTTTAATATCTGTTTTATTTTTCCTGCCTCCCTGTGAGTTACTTAAACATTTTTTAGAGTTTCATCTTGACATAGGGTATTTTTGAGTGTATTTCCTTGCATCCCTTTTAAAATGGCTGCTCTATGTATTATATTATATATACATAACTTATTGCAGGCTACTGGTGTTGATATTTTACCAGTTTGCGTGAAGTGTTCCTTTATGTCCTTTACCCTCCCCCTTTAATAACTGTGTTAAATATTTCCTATATACATATGTAGAACACATCAGCAAGTGTTATAATTTTTGCTTCAACTCTCAAACAAAATTTAGAAAATTTAAGAGGAGAAGGTATATGTATTATTGTATCTATTTGTATTTTTACTCTTTTTATTGTTTCCCGATTTTCCAAGATTCTTTGTTACTTCTTTTCTGTTTAAAAAACACCTTTTAGTTATTCTTTCAGGATATATATACTTATGACAAATAGTCTTAGTTTTCCTTCATCTGACAATGTGCTGATTTCTCTTTCATTTTTAAGAGTATTTTCACTATGCATGGAATTCTGAATTAAAAGCTTTTCTTCCAGCACTTGAAAAAATGTCGTGCCGCTTTCTTCTGGCCTCCGTGGTTTCTGATGAGAAATTTGTTGTCAATTGAATGGTTTCTCCCATAGGTAAAGTATTGTTTCTCTGTTGTTGCTTTCAAGATGCTTTTGTCTGTCTTCTTCAGTTTTCAGAAGTTTGAAATGATGTAATTTAGCATGGATTTATTTGAGTTGGTCTTCTTTGGTGTTTTCTGAGATTCTTTAATCTGTAGGTTTATGTCTTTTGCTCAATTTGGGAAGTTTTCAAACACTATTTCTTTAAGAACATTTTCAGCTTTGACTTCTTTCTTCTATTCTCTCCTTCCAGGACACCAATGACACCAATGTTCGATTTTTTATTATAATCCCTAAGGTTCCTTGATACTCTGCTCAGGCCATTTTCTTTCTGTTATCCAGACTGTAATTTCTGTCACTCTGTCTTCAAGTTCACAAATGCCTTCCTCTGCTCCATCCATCTTGTTGAGTCCATCATTTTTTTTTTTAAGTTTCTTTGTTTTTTAAGATGGAGTCTCGCTCTGTCACCAGGATGGAGTGCAGTGGCATGACCTCAGCTCACTGCAACCTCCACCTCCTGGGTTCAAGGGATTCTCCTACTTCAGCCTCCTGAAAAGCTGGGACTATAGGCATATGCCACCATGCCCAGCGAATTTTTTTTTTTTTTTTTTTTTGTATTTTTAGTAGAGATGGTGTTTCACCATGTTGGCCAGGATGGTCTCAATATCTTGACCTCGTGATCTGCCTGCCTCGGCCTCCCAAAGTGCTGGGATTACAGGCATGAGACACTGCACCCAGCCCATCCATTGAATTTTTTATTTGGTTACTTTATTTTCTAATTGTATGTTCTAAATTTTCTAAATGCTTCTTCTTTTTATCTTCTGATTCTTTGCTGACACTTTGTTTCTTTTCAGGGACTTCTTATGTTTCATTAGTCTCAAGAATGTTCATAATTGCTTATTGAAGTATTTTTATAATGAATGCTTTAAAAGTGTCATCAGATAATTCTAAAATCCCAGTCATCTCAGCATTGGCTTCTATTGATTGTCTTTCTTTTTCCATTCAGCTTGAGATCTTTCTGCTTCTTGGTCTGACAAGTAATTTTCAATTGAAGCCTGAACACTTGAGTATTATGCTGTGAGACTCTGGATCTTATTTAAACCTTTTGTTTTTGCAGGATTCTTGTTAACACTGCTCTAGCAGAGAAAGGGGAGGTACTGCCTTATTATTGCCAGGGATGGGTAGAAGTCCAAGTTCTCCATTCAGCTTCTGTTAGCCCCTGAAGAGGGGAAGAGTTTCTCATTATTGCTGGGAAGGGATTGAAATCCAGCTCCCCCATAGGCCTCCACTGATATCACTCTTGCTGGGAGGGGTAAGAACGCCAAAAAGCAGGGAGTGGACTTGTTAATGATGGTGGTGGTAAAAGCCCTGAAAGTAGGTCTCCTTGAATCCTACCTCAGCAGGTGTGGGAAGGAGTGCTGCATTATTGCTGGGTGAGGGAAACGTTCATTACCACCAGCAGGGGTGACAGTCCCTACTCAACCTTCTCTAACACCAGCCCGGCAGGAGGATTGGGATGGCAGGTTTCATTCAGTTTGACAAAAGATGGAAGTCTAGACTCCCTACTTGGTCTTTGCTGGTATGGGTGGGTAGGAAAACAGATTTTTCTGTGGTGTTTGGCTGGGACAGGATGGTTATTGGGTAAAAGTTTTCTTCCTAAGCTGTCCCTTTCCTGGGCCTTTGACTAGGTGGGGCAGGCTTCTGTCGAGGCTCTTTTTTAAAAATCTATTGACACATCCAGATTGCCAGCTTCCTCAGTTCTCAGTCTGGGATACGAAGCTAAAAGAAGTCTCAGGGAACTCATCACTGTGTCATTGCTTGGGTCCCTAGCTGGTCTTCCTCCTTCTTACCCTCTTTCAGAGTGGTCTTATGTTTATTTTACATACAATGTCCATTGTTTTTAGCTGTATAGTTGACCCTTGAACAACCCAGATTTGCATTGCACTGGTCCACTTACATGTGAATTTTCTTCCACCTCTGCCACTTCTCAGACAGCAAGACCAACCCCTCCTCTTCCTCCTTTTCCCCAGCCTACTCAACATGAAGACAAGGATGAAGACCTTAACGATGATCTGTTTCCAGTTAATGAATGGTAAATATGCATTGTCTTCCTTAGAATTTTCTTAATAACACTTTCTTTCCTTTAGCTTACTTTTGTAAGAATGCAGCATATAAGACATAGAACATAAAAAATACATGTTAATAAACTCTTCGTGCTATTGGTAAGGCTTCTGATCCACAGTAGACTATTAGTAGTTAAGCTTTTGGGGTATCAACAGTTACATGTGGATTTTCAACTGTGGGGGTGGTTCCCTCAATAAATGTGTGCTGGATGAAGGGAAAAAGAAAGGAAGAAATGAAAAGAGGAAGGGTTGTATGGATGAAGAGAAGGAAAGAGAAATGGAGGAGGAAGATCTGTTTCCTCCCACTAGACTGTTATGTATTCATTTTAGAATCTGCAAAACTAAGCACAGAAACAAAAACCTAGGACGTAGCTAATGAATGTTATACAAATGAATGAATCAACTAAGCAACTGAAAGGAAGAAAGGATAGAGGGAAAGAGGGAGAGAAGGAGGGTAAATTGTCTTTATGGTAAAAGGACTTATCTCTACCTCTTTGAGGACAGGCTCATTAATACATATGGCACTCACTTTTCCGGGCAGAATTGTTACAATAGGAGAGAAAATCCCTTCTGCAGGTTAAACCCAGATCTGTGTCTGAATGGGACCAGTAGCTGGTGGCTGTGTTCCATTAGAAGGAAACTTATTAAACTCTACCAGATCGTGTAGGGAAAAGCTAATGGCATAATTCCTCTTTCTGAACATAGATGAGAGCTGGAAACATCCATCAGAGACCATCCAGTCCAACTACTACTTCATTCTACACGCTGAGACTCTGAGGTGGGGGGAATGGCCTCCCGGAGTCACACAGGGCATTAGTGGCCCAATCCCAAGTGCTCAGGAGCAGAAACACAAGGTTGTGCCAAGTAATAAGAAATTCACATCTGACTCTGGAAATTAAATAGAAGCATGTTCATCACCCAAGTTCCCACTTCACCCAGCTGAGCACTGATTTGGACATGGCAGTGATGGCCACTGTTCTCCCACGGACCCGTGGACATTTTCTAAAGAAACTGTCTTCGCCCTCTAACCCAACATCCTTTGTTCAATGGACTGTCCTAAACAGACACATGTGTATTGTGACCTCCATAACCCACTCCCAACACAGGACCACAGGCCAGAGCATAATGGCAGCTGACCAGTGACCTATAATATGGGATGGAATGATGAGATAAGTCATTAGGAAGAAGAGCAGAGAGTATTAGGAGCAAAGGCTGAGATTAGATGAGGTTCAAAGAGAATAGGGGAGCCACAACAGGCCAGAACACAAAGAAACCAAAGGTCATAAGGAGTAGGAACTATATGGAGGCAGAAGCAGTGACAGAGAAAAGAAAGACAAAAGTAGAAGATGAGGAAGCCAGCCAATAGTAACAACACATCAGAGCAGACCCACAAACAGTAGCTGAGTCAGGGTCATGATGGAAGACCAGAACAATGGTCCATGGGCTTGCTTTGGGTCCAAGGAGCTGGATTGAGCTCAAGACCATACTCTATGTCTAGTTCTATGAGGCCCAGCTCCTAAACGATGACTTCCCTTTCTCTGAATTGCTCCATGTCCATCCTTTACAAAAGACAACTCATTTTGCTGAGCCAGCCTAGGCGGGTCTATGTACCTTACAGCCAACCAACAAAAGCAAGCCAGCATGCAACCACTTCAAACAGCTTGACTACAGCAGGCAGAGATCCAGCCTGTGCCTCTACTGCAGATGGTATTTTTGATGCCTTGATGTGTAAGTACAAGGGTTGTAGATTGGTCCCATAGGAATTGGCAGATGCTATTGCTTCTGCTTTTCCTCCTTCCCCCTCCCCCCTTCTCTTCATCCATCCTACTCTGTCTTCCTCTTGTTCCTTCTTCTTTCTCCTTCTCTTCCTCTTCCTCTTTCCTTCTTCCTATTTCTTCTGCCTCTTCTCCTTCTCTGTCTTCTTCATTATCAAGCTACTTCCATGCCCTGAGTATTTGGTCCTTTATATGTATCATATATCTAATCCTCTCTGCAATCCCAATAATACCTCCTATTTTGTCTATTCTACAGAAAGGAAAACTAAGGAAGACAGATCTTGAGATAACTGGCCCACAGTCACACAGCAAGTTAAAAGGGCTGAGTTGCATGCCCAGACTTCCTGACTCCAAAATCTACACTCTAACCACTGTGCTAGGTGAAAAAGCAAGGCCTTTGTGAACCTGGAAGACAGGAGACAAGACAAAGAGCATTAAAAAAAAATCTTTGGACCAAATTGGCTCAGAAATTTATTGCACTAACCACATCATTGCCTGACAAGAAGAATCTGTGTGAAGCCAGTGAGAAGAGAAATGGGGAAAAAATAACCCAGCCCTATGATAGATCCTGTCCACCTTCATGTCAAAGCTGCTTTCTTAATATAGGTTAATTTATTTCCCTTATCAAATTCTCCTGCTGGCTGACAAGCAGAGCAATGTCACAGTCACTGATCTATCTGACCTGTGTTTCAGTCTCATCTGACACCAGGAGGCTCATTGTGCCTGTAAAGCCAGAGAGAAAGGTCTCAAGGTGGTTCTGAGCTCCTTGCCCCTCAAAATGTCACAAAAGAATGGGTTATAAGGGATGCACAGTTATTATACTTCCCAGGAGCCTTACCATTTGAACTTGCTCAGCCCTCCCAGCAGTGGGGATCTCCTCTCCTAGAGATCTATATCTTTTGCAAATAACAAAGGAAAAGTGGACCCAGCCCGATGTTTTGAACAGAGGCCCCAAAATCTAAGCTGATGATAATAGCTAGAATTTCCTGGATCTTAACTACGGTCCAGGAAGTACACTGAATGTTCATTGTTGAATTCCAACCTCACAACAACTGTCTGAGGTTGGTGTTCTTATTGCCCACCACGGGCACTTTAAAACATGACTACAAATCTGTGGACTCTTCCCACTAAGAGTTGAGGTCTGTATTTCTTCCCTTTGGATCTGAACAGGCTTGTGACTGCTCCCATCAGTAACGTGCACAGAAGTGACACAGTCAAAGTTCCACCCTGTTTGCTAATTCAGTTGCTTTTTGAGCCATGAGCTGCCCTGAGGCAGCCATATTGTGAGGACACCCAAGCATTACAGCAAGTCCACATACAGGTGCTCTAGTTGACATCTCTGCTGAACTCAGGCTTCTACTCAACACAGCCCAGGCACCAGACATGGAGTGAAAGAGCCTCTAAATCAGGGGTCAGAAAACCTTTTCTGCAAAGAATCTGACAGTAGAATATTTTAGGCTTTGCAGGCCATGCAGTCTCTGTCATGACTATTCAACTCTGACATTATAGCATAAAAGCAGCCACAGAAATAAGGGTTTGTCTGTGTTCCAATAAAACTTTATTTATAAAAACAGATGGTGGGCTGGATTTGGCCTGTGGGCCATAGTTTGCCAATCCCTGTTTTAGATGACTCTAGCTGTTATCTGTGTGAGTCTTCCCAGTTGATTCCCATGATGGAGCAGAAACAAACCATTCCCTCCGTTCTCTGTCCTAATTCCTGACCTACAGACTCTGTGAGTATAATAAAAGGATGATTGTCGTATGCCACTAAGTTTGAGTAGCTTGTCGTGCTGCAGTAGATAACTGGAACAGCCTCATTTTACGTACAGGGAAACTGAGGCTCAGAGACATTAAGTTACTTGCTCAGTCTTACAGCTAGTAAGCACAGAAAGCCATGGCTGGTTGCCAGGCTTGCCTGATTCCGATTCCAGAAGCCAAGTTCACCCCACTGCTGAAATGATGCCACAAGGAGCCCGATGGCAAATGGCTTCGAGATAAAAATGGTGGGTGAGATAGCTCTAGAGCAAGGGAACACACGAGCTTTGTGGGGAGACATGGAAGGAGAAATCAGAGATACAGGAGGGACCAAATTATGCATGGCCTTTCAGGATACAGTAGAGTCTGATTTGTTTTCTAGATGCAACAGAAAGGTATTGGATGGGTTTAAAGCAGGGCATGACATAATTCAAATTACATTCATTGAGCATCACTCTGGCTGCTGTGCAGGAAATGGATTGGGAAGGGGGCAGTCCTCTCTCTATGCCCTGCCAATGAATGGTGACTTGGCTATCATGATGCTCCTTTAGAACCTGGACCCACAGCAGTGACCTGCTGATCCTTAGGCTGATGTACTTTTTCCACTGATACAGTTAGGATATTTGTCTCCTCCAAATCTCATCTTGAAATTTGAACCCCATGTTGGAGGTGGGGCCTAGTGGGAGGTGTTTGGGTCACAGGAGTGGATCCCTCATTGGTCTCTTTTTTGCAGTAATGAGTGAGTTCTCACTCAATTAATTCCTCCTAGAGCTGGTTGTTTAAAAGAGCCTGGCACCCCGCCTCTCTCCCTCTCTTTCTTCTCTGTCTCTCTCTCCCTCCCCCTCTCTCTTGCTTCCTTCCTTCCTTTCGCTGTGTGGTGCCTGCTCCCCTTCACTTTCTAACATGAATGGAAGCAGCCTGTGGCATCCCCAGAAGCAGATGCTGGTGTCAGGCTTCTTGTATAGCCTGCAGAACTGTGAGCCAAATAAACATTTTTCTTTATAAATTATCCAGCCTCAGATACTCCTTTATAGCAATGCAAATGGACTCAGACATCTACCTTCGACATAAAGCATGAAAGCTTTGAGATGCTTGGGAAATCACCTGCTGGTGTGTGCAACCTTTGCCTCCTGCTGTGAGGCTTGGCATGTCCCTGGGAAAGATTTGGTACAGCCCCATCAGCAGATCAAATAAGGATGTGGAAATCATGCCAGAAACATCTAGGCCACAAATGAAAGACAGATGCACAGAGGGGCCCACTGCTGACTACCTGTCTGAGGGCAGAAGCCAACCAAACTACCTGTTGTTCAGAGCTCAAGGCCCCAAAGAAAACCCACCCATCCAGCCTCCCCCAGAAGCTCAGATATAGACCCCTATTCCTTGGAGGTCTGATGGGACAGATGTGTCAGAAAGCCCAGAATCATCTTCAAAGTTGGTCCTGGAAGATGGTGTTACAGTTTGGCTGAGTCCTCACCCAAATCTCATCTTGAACTGTAGCCCCCACAATTCCCACATGTCATGGGAGGGACCTGGTGGGAGGTAATTGAATAATGGGGGCTGGTCTTTCTTGTGCTGTTCTTGTGGTAGGGAATAAGTCTCACAAGATCGGATGGTTTTATAGAGGGGAGTTTTCCCACATAAGCTCTCTCTCGTCTGCCGCCGTGTAAGATGTGCCTTTTGCCTTCTGCCAAGATTGGGAGGCCTCCCTAGTCATATGGAACTGTGAGTCCATTAAACCTCTTCTTCTTATAAATTACCCAGTCTCAGGTATATGTTTAGCAGCAGCATGAAACAGACTAATACAGATGGCAAAACCTCTCACAGAGCAAAGCAAGTGAGATCTGGATCACTAAGGAAACTCCTTTTAAGTCTCTCTTCCCATCCCCATTGTGCCTTCCTGGACACTCTCATCCATTCTCATTCTAACGTGCCCTCTCTCTAAATTAGATTTCTGGCACGCAAATCTCTCCACTGATCTCTGGATGTCCCTCAAGCTTTACTCAACACAAACATCACAGAATTAGAAGAGCCGAGATGGGCTGGGAGGGAGCGCCACTACTCCCATATCAACCCTTCCTCCCTCCTGCCCCTCACCCAGCAGTGCCAGCCCCACACGTCCAGACCCAGCAGAAGCCAAGCCTCACCTTGTTGATTTTGTTGGTTTTGGGGAGCGTCTGACTGATGTGCAGGTCTGAATACCGAGGTGGCTTCCGTAGAGGGTTGTTGATGTCACATGGAACGGACTCTGTCCGGACTAACCTTGCTGGATCCGTAGGGGTAAAAGCAATGATTTGGGAGTTTAAGTATCACTTTGGCTTTGGTTATGCCAGGACAGCATAGCTCAGACGCCCCCACTTAGGCCCACGCCCAAGACTAGAGGACAATTCACCAAAAGTGATCATCGTTTTGTCACAGTGGTGGGATCAGTGTATTTTCTGTGGTTTGTAGAATACTTCTATTGTCCATATATGATTTTTGACAATTAAGATGATAATAATAAAACTAAAGCTGTCAGGTTTTTTAAAATACCATAACTGTTTCAGATCGTCAGAATCAAAACTCATTTTAAATACACACGGTTTCTGATTTCTCAGGGCCTGTGATGAGTGGATAAGCTCATCATAGTGTCCTGTCCCTAACTTTCTAACCTCTGTGTTAGGATCGCCTTTCCTGCCTTTTGGGATTCCTCAGGCCTAAGCAGCCTGCTGCACATTGAAACACTTTGCCCTAAACAGCCTTGGATCCTTGAAAGGAAGACAGCTGTTCCAGGAAGCCGGGCACATAGTGGGTGCTAAATAAATGCTTCCTGATCCAAATCACATCACCCAAGCCCCTCTCTCTCCTGTTATTTCTATTACTCACAGGGAACACTGGCAAGGGACAAAAGTGAGAGGCTCAAAAATCAAATTTGATGCTTGCTATTGCTACTTGTTAGCTATTTTTCTTCTTCTTCTTTTTTTCTTTTCTTTTTTTTGCAGTGGTAAGAGGAAGGTGTTGGTTGAGAAGTTTAAGCTCCGGACTGACCCAGGGATTTCATTTCTCTGCTTAGCCTGAGCTGCCATCACCATAGAAACTGACTGTATTTTCAACTTCCAACCAACAGAGAGAAAAAGCAAGAAGCTGGTGGATTTCTGCAAAGTTCAGTTTGCTCTGCATGTGCAGACACCTGCCACCTTTAAACAAAAGGTGGCATGGCCTTGAGGGTGAGTGGGAGGGAGCCCTTCTTCAAATGTCAGCCTCTGAGTGCCAGCACCTTCCAGCCGGCTGGTTCTGTCCATATGGGAACTGGGCTCCAGCAGAAACCTCTGCATAAGAGAATTTGGTGGGAGGCAATTTTTCCAATGAGTCTGACCCAAGGCAGGGTCTCAAGAGAGGTGAGAATTCAGATTTTAAAATAGCCTCATTGAGTGAATACAGTTATTCAAGGAACAGATGGTTCTCAATTAAGGATGTGGAGTGGGAAGGGCAAGAGAAAGGAGCTGAAGACTTTGCCTTCACTTGCAATTTTCCTGTTTTTGGAGATAATGCAAAGATCATTGAACACCAACTGCCCGTTGGCTTTGGGATGCACATCACAGTGCTTTTGGCAGCAATTTGCCTCCTTTAGGTTTCCCTTGGGCTCATTCTAAATCAGGGCAGATTCCCAGGAATATGCACTGATCAAGGCCAGGGGAGATGGGAGTGGGAAAGTGGGAGGACAGGGAAAGAGGACTCAGTGTCAGATTAGCGAGTTGCTGTACTCTAAAGTTGCTCCCTGATGATTCAAAGGCTCTAGCTATCCTATAGATGAGGGGTTTGTAGGGATGTGGCCAGCAAGAGTTTGAAATATTTTAATAAACTGCTTATATTTAAAAATAAGCGTATGGCAAAAATTCTCTATTTGGGCTTTTGATGGAAATGTCAGAAATGCTGGCAATGTAGGTCCACAGAGCTGGAGTGCCTGGCTACCCTCTCCAGATGGCACTTGGGTTTTCCAGTGTGCCACAGCCCCATCTGGCCAACTTCTCTCATTTAGGACAGCTACTTGGCCCTCATAGACATCTTAGTTTATATCTGACTCCTGCTCTAGAGCAGTACTTCTCAGCTTTAAGGGGCATAGAAGTTCCCTGTAGATCCTGTTTAAAATGCAGATTCTGATTCATAGGTCTGGGGTGGAGCCATAAACTATGCATTTCTAACAAGCTCACAGGCAATCCTGATGCTGCTGGTTCATTGCTTTGAATAGCAAGGATCTGGCCCATGGCGTGCAGTAGAACTTTCTGTAATCCATAAAATGCTCTATATTTGTGTTTTTACTTGATTTTAATTAATCTAAATTTAAATAGCCAAATGTAGCTAATAGCTACTGTATTGGGCAGCACAGGTCCAGAAAGTTCCTCAGGGATACATTTCAATATGGATAATGGGGTTTGGGGTGATGCCCCATAGGACAGGGATCAGGGAAACCATTTTGAAAGTTGGACTACAAGACTTCCCAAGGCAGTGTCCCTGAGTCCTTGGCAGTCAGGGAAAAGCCTTTCTTCTGTCCTTCCTTCCAGCCAGATTCATCTTGCTTTTGCTTAGTAGAATCCTGGTAGCGGCTCTCCTAGGGCTGCTAAGTCTCTGCCTGGACAGGTCGGCCCAGACACTCCTAGGGCCTCAGGAGATGGGACACAGATGGCCCAAACCAATAGGCCCAAGACATACCCCTCCCCATGCCCACTTTTGCAAGGCCAATTGATTAAATCTAGAGAACACACAATGGAAAAACACCCAGCCAGGGCTCTTTTTTGGTGGGAAGAAAAGCAATGGGATTGGGGTAAACAAAAGAGGCTAGAGATTAGGAAAGGAGATAGGATGAGAGAGCAGGGGTTGGAGTGGGAAGAAAGAGTGGGCTAAAGTGTCAGAGCAACCAGTACAGGAGCAAGAAATAGGGAGAATACGCACAGGGGAGTATAGAGGAGACAGATGTCAGGAAGAACAGTGTCAGAGAGAAAGAAACAATGCGGCAAGTATGTGGGGATCAGGAGGTATTCAGAACCGACCTGAGTGGGTGGGACAGCTACTTGGGGGCCTGCAGGAGACTCACCTCACCCCTACCCCTAGAACAGTAAGTGTTAAATACTTACCTCCTCGATGGATAATCAGGAGATGGCAGGGTGGGGCTTCTTTGGTGCATTTGTTGTGGCACTTTAACCTGAGAGAGATAAAGAGAGAAAGATGGATAGGTGAATGACTAAGTGAGTGGATAGGTGGTTGGGTGGATGGATGGATGGATGGATGAGTGGATGGATGGATGAATGGATAGGTAGATGGATGGGGAATGGATGGGTGCATAGATGGATGGTTGAGTGGATTGATGGATGGATGGATGGGTAAGTGAATGCATAAATTGGTGGATGGATGGATGCATGGGTGGGGGGTAGATGAATGGGTGGACGGGTGGATAGATGGATGGGTGGCTGAACAGATTGATGGATGGATGGATGGTAGATGGATGGGTGGGTAGATGAATAGATGGATAAACGGCTAGATGGATAGACAGGTAAATGGATGAGTGGGTGAATAAATGGGTTGATAGATGAATAGATGAATGGGTGGGAGATTAATGAACAGATGTATCAATGGGTGATGTGTGGACAGATGGGTAAGTGAATGGATAAATAAATGGATAGATGGATGGATATGATGGATGGATGGATAGATGGATGGATGGATGGATGGATGGATGGATGGATGGATGGTGGATGCGTAGGTAAATGGATAAGTGGATAGATGGGATACCCCCATGGTCTGGAAAGCTCTGGGTGCTATGGATACTAAGATGTGAGATGAGATGGGATGGGACAGCCACTGCAAAAGCATATCCTCAGCAACCCAGGACATTAACTCTGGAGAGAGGCTTTCACTATCCCACTTTCTCAGGTCAGTCTTAGGTGGTCCAAGAGTGCGTGGCAACTGTTTTACTAGCACTGCCCACATGGACTTCATGTTTTAAAAAATATCAAATATCATGCTTTTCCCAACAGTCTGTATTATAATCATCATCATCATCACAATTCTTCTCATCATCTTCCATTTATTCGAAGACTCATTTTGTACAATGTCATTTAGTCTTTATACTAACCTTACAAAACGGGCATTATTATCATTACCATTTTACAGATGGAAAAACTGGAATTAACTGACTTGCCCTGACAGAAAACCTGGGTCAGTGGTCTCAAAGGTGGCCGCTCATTTTTCTTAAAGGCTCAAGCTATATGTAGGACACATTCAACCAGGGCTTTTAATTGTAATGAAATCCATGCCAGGTATTAAGTTTTAGAGACATAAAGTTGAAGAGTTTAGAGTGAAAATGTCTTCACTTGAGAGAAGCCTAAGAGGACACCTTGCTCCTTCCCCTGGAGTTGCCTGACTTCACAAGGATAATAAGAATCACAAATTACTGCAGCATGGCTTTGCCCTTTTCTTTTAGAGTTTTATGTCAATAGGATAGACACACACCGTGGAAGATGCCGTAAGTGGCCCATTCATATCCCCTTGGATTCTCTTACCATTTTGTGCATACCAGCCTAACTTGCAGCAGCCAGTATCTTTGCCAGGTGGTGGCCCTCAGGCTGCTTGGAGATTTAGTATTAAAGTAGACACATCAGTAAACTGAGAACTAGGAACTTTACAGTTACCCCCTACTCTTTTCCTGATTTGAGAATTCTCTTTAAAATAATGGTTCAAATATGCAGGCACAGACTAGACATTGATTTCTCCCATTTGTCTAATTCAGTGTTTCTGAAAGTAGCATCCTTAGACCAGCAGCATCAGCACCACCTGGAAACTTTTCTGGGTCCCCACGGCAGACCTGCGGAATCAGTACTCTGAGGCTGGGCTGCAGCAGGCAGCACTCTGGGTCTTAACAAGCCCTCTAGGTGAATCAGATGCATGCTTAGGTGTGAGAACCACCAGCCTAGCTGATTGTTTTGGAATATCTGTACACATTTCCCCCAATTTTCTCCTGTTCGGTATTTCATGGATCCGGTGGGGCTCTGAATTTCTCTCTGAAAAAGTTAGACCTGGGACAAGCAAGAGTGAAGAAGGGGAGTAAGGAGGGACATAGATGGTAGGAGACAATGCTGAATCACACAGTGAGACGTAAGCCCCTCTCCAATTCTCTTTCAATCTGATGGCACCAGAGAGAAGGGCTCTCTAACACATGCTATCTCCAGTCCCAGATTTCAACAGGTAGCAGCAACCACAGGGAGTTTTATCGATGGGTTTTTCCATTTGAAAATTGATTTTTTCCAGGTTGCCTTACGAGATGGTTTGAATATTTGTCGCTTCCAAATCTCATGTTGAAGCATGACCTCCGATGTTGGAAGCGGACCTAGTGGAAGGTGTTTGAGTCATGTGGGCGGATCTTTCACAAATGGCTTGGTGCCTTCCCTATGATAACGAATAAGTGCTCACTCTGTTAGAGACCCTGAGATCTGATTGTGTAAAGGAGCCTGATACCTTCTTCTTTCTCTCTTGCTCCCTCTCTCGCCACATGACACCCCTGCTCCCCCTTCTCCTTCTGCTACAAGGCCTTACCAGAAGCCAAGAAGAAGCAGTGCCATACTTGTACAGCCTGCAGAACTGTGAGCCAAAGAAACTTATTTTCTTTATAAATTACCAAGCCTAGGTATTCCTTTATAGCAATGCATAACAGACTAACACACCTTAGAATAATGGCAAATGATGTTGAGATTTCATTTATGATAATGAGATATATTTTCATCTTTCAATAAATTTGTTTAAAAAGGCCATAAATAGAAAATAAGTATAAATAGTAGAGCTGATATGTAATTATGGAGAAAATCATGACAGAGTGTTAGACAAATGTCTGAGTTAGGCTGGGAAAGTTGACTTAGACATTTTGGAATCTGCAAAAAGAGGACAAAGCACCAGAAAGTCTAAGACAGTTGAAAAACATTTGGAAGTGCTGTTGGGTATGAGTGTCATAAAGGCTGCAAAAGGCCGCAAATAACAAGAGCTAACATGTGTGATGTGTCAGGTAATATCCTGAGTGCTTTACGTCATTCATTTAATCCTCGTAACAGCCCTAAGAAGCAACTATTATTGTTAGTCCCATTTTACAGAGTGAGAAACTCAGGCTCATCAAATTTGGATAACTTACGTAAGGTCAAATGGCCAGTAAGAGACAGAGGTTCCCAGCCCAACTTTTAACCATGATGCTAGATGCCTTCACGACTTGCACTCTTTTGCTTTAGCACCTTGGGGTAGGTGTGGGTAAAGCAGAAGGTTCCTGGGAGCTATGACTACCTGAGTCAAAATGCCCTTCTTTGAGACAAGCCTAAGATATCACCTAACTCTTCCCACCACTGCTGCTTGACTTCACAAGGATCATCAAAATCCCGAGTTACTGTGACCTTGCTTTGTCTTTTCCTTTTCTAAGATTTTCAGACTCTCAGACTTACGGGAAAAATTCCAGTCCCCAAGGGAAAGCTCATGATGCTTCAAAACCTTATGCAGAGCTCTGCTAAATGTGAAATGAGCCTTTCATTCATTCAACATTTAGCTTGGCCTGGAGTGCCCCAGGTACTGGAGATACACAATGAACAAGGCTAATGCAGCCTCTCTGTTTATGGGGAGGAATGATAAATGCATAAGTAGATAAATCAAATAATTGCAGGGATCATAAGATCATGAAAAATATTTCAGGGAAATGGGATGGGGAATGATGGGGTATGAGAGAGGTCCTTGGGTAGGTGTCAAGGGTAGATGAGGTTGAGTTCTGACACAAAGGTTTGGAGGCCAGAACAAGTGTGGTGAGTTCAAGGGTCAAAAGTTAAAGGTCGATGAGGCTTTTAAAGTGATAAGAACAACACAAATGGTGGGGACATGAGGAAAGAGGGGTGGCGGGGGCCCCAAAAGCCATGGTAAGGGTCTGCATTTGATTCTGCAGGTGCTGTGAAGCCACTGGAGGTTTCTGAGGACCATGACATAGTCAGACTGATGTTTGGGAAGCCCTGAGCTGGGGGAAATCTGCTGATGTCAAAGGGGTGACGGACCAAGAGTTTCTGCACTTGGAATAGCGGGACTCCACCCCAGAAACTTCAAGAAAGAAATTTTTTTCCTTTCTAACACTCCCACCTATGAGTCTCCTCTAATAAACTCAGCTGGAAGAGTGCCTCGCACATGCAAAGAAGCCCCGTTGCTATCTCGTGGGCAGGACTTTGAATCAGGGCCATGCAATTTAATTTAACGTGTAGACCACCGCCAAGCCAAGACAGGATGGGTGAGGCTGCCCACGACCTTGGTCTGTTTCCTGCTCTCCTCCTTGGTAGTTTTTTCTCTCCAGAGTCCCTTGTTGCTTGTCTCTTGCAGTAATAGAAAAGCCCTCCTTGACCTCTGTCCCAAGAGTGGGAGACAGAACACTGTTCCTTCTAGCCAGAGGCTTCAGAGGGCAGCATTAGCAGTGGAAACACAGCCTTGCTCATGCAGAAAACCCCAAGAGAAATACTCCAATGCCCGGGCACTTAAACCTTGCATGGAGGTTCAGATGTCAAGAACGAGAGCCAGCACACCCAGGATCTGCTAATAGAGTCGGCAGGATTAGGCGAGCCCTGAAATGACAGACTCTGGAGAGAGAGAGAAGAGGGATCACAGCAAGGCTTTGCAAGCACACCATGTCACACTTAACGGAAACTGTTTTTCCTGCTGGAAATGTGCACCCTTTTCCCAAAATGTGGCTTTTCCTTTTCCCTACCCATGGAAGAAAGAGCTACTAGCATATAATTGACCAGGAGACCACCTGCTTCAAAATTGGATTCCCAAGCCTCACCCTCTGAGGTCCTGATTCAGTATGTGTCTGTTGCGAATGCAAATTTTAAGAAAGCACACATGAAATATGAGAACTACTGTATGAGAGGAATACATTCCACTTCCCAGATGAGAGATGTATGGGAGCATAAATATTCCAGAATACAACCTCCAAAAGGAAAATGGGGAAAGCGTACAGAACAAACCTAGATTCAAATCCTGGCATCACCACTCCCTGGCTGTGATAACTTGGGCAAACTGCTGATCCACTCCGAGCCTCACTTTCCCCATCTGTAAAGTGGGGACCGTTGCAGTACCTTGCCTCTCTGGTTTGCAGTGAGGACTAATGATATAATGTAAGTGAGGTGCTCAGGACAAATA